TGGAATGGACCAATCCCCAACCTCTCCACAAGCTCCATCAGGATGGTTGTAGAGAGCGAATAATTCCTCTGCGTTCTCCTTGCTGCTCCAAGCTATGGTTTCCGACGTGTGCTGGGGGGGACATGAAGAGCGGCTGTAGCTGGAGCCATTCCTACAGCCTCCTCCCCTTCGGAGCATAATTTTTCCTCAAATAAGTGCAAGTTCCTGCGGCAGCCCCGGTGCCGTGCCAGCTCCCATCATGGGCCACCCTGGAGCGGGACCGAGGGTCCTTGGCATCTCCCCGTGGAAGCGAGCTGTCAGTCCCTCTTCCCAGGGTGAGGGATGAACGACTCCAAATGCAGAAGAAAGCTGCTGGAACAAGAGAGGGATTCACCCCCCTCCACTGTCCCCACAGCTTCACGCTCACAAGATTTCAGCTCCGGGGAGACCCGTAATTATCTATTTCCAGCATCTTCAGCAGAGCGTGAGGACACAGCAGCGCGGGATTCAGTGATTCATGGGTGACCTTCGGGCACCGTGCATGTCCTCTTAAGGGGGGCTATAGAGGCTGGTAGCTGCTCTGCTGTGACTTTTCAAGTCTACATTACATTGTCTTTAATTTGCTTTAAGAGTGCGATGCAATGTTATCATAAAAATGGGATGATACCTGTCCCTTCCTTACAATGGAACAATCAAGAGTAGCAGAATGAAAGGCAGCAACAGCAAAATAAATTGTAATATTTTGCAATATTTTCCAGTCCAGGTTATTTTTTAAAGACACGCTGAGCTCGTCATCTTCCTCGGGTGGCGCTGGGAGGCAGCACTGGTACGAACTGGTGGGATCGCGCCCAGCGCCTGCCGCTGTTTCGCAGCTTGGTCCTCCACAGCCCGACCTCTCCTCAGCTGAGAAGCCGCAGGATGAGACAAGTGTCTGGCTGTGGGAGCAGTTCGGAGCAGCTCCTGTTCCGACAGCTAAAATCAAAACACAGCGGAGCTCCAAGAACGTGTTTCCACATAAAACGCCCTTTGGCCGCGAGCAGCTGCTGTGGCCACACTGACACTGGCTTTTATTTGAAACATATTTATCGGTGTTTGCATCTCCTGCCAGGGGACACCATGTGGAAAACTATGGTCCTGTGTCCTCCTCGGTCTTTTTCACTGCTGACACAAAGTGATGGGGCACGGGTAGCCTCTGCCTGCGAGAGCCCAAAACTGCCCCAGCAACCCCACCGCGCCGGTACCCTCAGCACATGAGTGCAGCTGCTGCTGGTGACCAGCGATGCCCGAGATCTTCCCAGTTCACCTTCTCAAGACCTTCAGCAGTGCCTGGAGGAAAGGTTATACCTTTTAATTCCTTCGTCTCGCTGGTCCATCCCCATCGATGACACCGGTGCGAGGCCCAGCGCCGCTCTGCTGCCCTGTGGCTGGGTGGTATCTCAGTCACCGAAGGTCGCCATGAAAGATCACCTAATTTTCAACACGAATGGCAAGTTTTCAAATGCTGAGTCTGGTTTAGGATCTGGCCTCCTTTGCTTTGGGATTTTACCAGCAGAGGGCAGGCCGGGCTTGTACCACAAGCTAGAAAAAGCAGGAGGGAGAGCGTTTCACCCAGGGCAGGCAACAGCAGAACTGAGATGAGCAAGGTTTTTCACGCAGGCGGATTTTGGAGAGCGGGACTCGCTCTCTCTTACAGAACTTGCTGCAGCTTGGAAGTGGCCTGATCCCCTCCAAGTGGCAGGCGAAGGCTCGTTCATCAGGAGCCCATGTTTAACACCACCGTAAGGCCACCGAACCACCTCAGCCGGACTGCGCCCAGCGCAGCCCACGCGTTCCCATGGGCCTCGTCATTATGGGGTTTTTTTCATTGCCTGAAGATCAAGGATGAAGAGAGTGTGAGGAGAGTTTGGGGATTTCCCCTACAGGGTAGATCAAAAGTTGCCAGGATGTGTTAGAGGAGACGCTTAGGCTAAAGAAAACTCTGGGAAAAAAAGTTCCAGTCCCAAGCTACTTCTCTAATCACCATTTTGCTGTGGGGAGAAAACCCCACAGGCCTGAACCAATGCCCTCCCACCCGCTCCGGCTCCCGTTTGATCCGCAGAGATCAGGAAGTGGGGTTTATTTTATTATTTTTTTTTACACTGTCTCTGTTTTGTTTTACCACTGTAGCCCGCGGGGCTGGTTTGTATGCCTGCCTCCCACGGAGGGTAATTTGGTTCCTCTCTCCGGCCGCGGCCACACCAGAGCACTGAGCTCCCACCGCTGCCTCCAGCCGGGTCGGGGCAGCCCAGGCACCAGCGGGACAACCCGTCATCAATAGCTCTATTATTGCTCTTGAAGTTTCTCTCCGCTTCCAGACGGATGCTGTGTTACCCCATCGCAGCTGCAGTTGCTCCCTTCCAGCAATTCCCAACGCAGCACTTAAGGCAGGGATTTATGGGCGGTTTTGAAAGGCATTTTTTTGGAGCGAGGAGAAGTTATGGGAAACGAAGTCGAATTCCCACCATTCCCCAGAAAATTCTCACAGCATCTTTCACGAGAAGGATCGCTTACTGGTCCTTTCCTCAAAACAGAGACGAGCTCTCAGCTGCGGCTCTTTGTTTAGTCCAGAGCGTTTCCCGACAGCGAGATGCAGCAGGGGTTATTCTGGTCCTGCTTGCAAAGGGTCAGGAGACCAAGGCAAGCCCTTGGCGTCTGGCTGCAAGGCTCTGCTGGACCCGATTTGTTCCCTGACATTTTTGTGGATGCTGGTAGTTAAATGAAAGGATTTGTTCTCAAGACATGGATTGCTGCCAATCTCAGGGCAAGCGCTGCTGACTATCTGGCTGATTTTGACTCGCAGGGTTGTTTGCAAAGTAAAAAGTCAAGGGACCAGAGTTACTATAAAACAACCAGCAGGGACATTACCTTACAAGCTACATCTTACCTTTTCTTTGAAGCTTTTCAGGAACAAAATCTCACCTGCCACAAAACCAGCCGTCATCCAAGCGGGTTGGATTAGCAGAATCACGTCGACGCTACATTTCACAACCAGGACAGGGGTTTGAAAGACTTTTTATTTGACACCTTTGCTGGATGTCACAGCTCGTGAATCTAACAGCTCTGCACAGTGTAAAGTGAGGCCGGGCTACTTGCTGTGAGCTCTAGCGTGCCAACCAGCCGCAGGAACAACCAGGGTCCACAAGGACCTCCTCTGACTCTATGAAAAGGGAACACGTTGTTCCTGGCTGATTCTGGCACTTGAGGACAAGGATGAGGAGAAGTAGCGGAGGCATTTCTGTGTGTTAAGTGCGATGACTTTCATCAAAACAACTGGGAGGGACTCAACTTTCAAAACAATAGCAGATACATACATTGACATGCACACGGCAGATAAAATCTGTAGGAACAGTCAAAACACCAGCTCACCCGCACCGTCTAACCGGCTGCGTGTTTGACCTGAGGCATGGGGAGAGCCTCTCCGACTCAAGAGAGATCTTCTCCCTCTTTTTTTTTTTAACCTTTCTTTGCATTGACCTTTCCACACTTTTCTCTCGTCCCGTCACAGTGCTGCAGAGCTGATTGAGACTCCTCGGGGCGGGCATGCAACTGGGTCCAGGCTATTTCTGCACGTGTATCCCAGCAAGTCAAGGCACAGATGCAGGGAGCGGGGGCTGTTCAAACAAGGGGGGAGCACTGGGAGCCCCTGCCTGGCCACCGTGGGAGTTAGGGACACGGCACAGGAGCAGGGTGGCTCGAGACCTTCAAGCTTCTGTTCCTTTCTGCCCAAAGAAGAGAGGAGGGGACGACAGCTGGAGGGGCAGAGGCGTATCTGCTGCGTTAGTTATCTAAGGGCGCACAGACCAAAGCAGAAAAAGCTCTTGGGAATCAGGACAAGCGCAGACCCAGAGCTCGCCGAGGTCTGCGGTGAAACCTCAGTGGGTTTTGGTTCCGGCCCAAGGAGAGGGATGAGCGATGTGAGACCAAAACATGGGGCTGAAGGAAGAAAACCAGAGACCTTGAGGGAGGAGAGGGTGAGGGCTGCAGGGCTACAAGAGAATAAGGGAGGCACTTCAAAATGCTGGCTGGGCTGACCCACTCCTCCCCCTTTGCTCTTTGGCAGGGGATGGAGGAGAGCTGGCTCCAGTGGGGAGACTGGCAGAGGGAAAGGCTTTTTCTTCTCGCTTTGGCTGTCGGAGCCTTCCCCTCCGTGACAATAGACGTCCCTTTGAAATCCTCTGTCTTGCCTCGTCTCCCTCTCTTCACACCTCAGTGCGGAGCAAGGGCTGCGAGAAGCCTCCCTCTGCCCGGGCAGCCTGGCCAGCTGCTCCTGCACGGTTTGTGCAGGGACCCAGCACAGGCCCGGCGGCCACGGCGGTATTTCAGCTCGGCTGTGGGAACGAGCTCTGTTAAGCTGTTGCCTCACTCCACCTTAAGGGCACATAAGTGGGAAAAGCTGGTAATGCGGCAAGGGAAGCACGGGGATTAGCAGGCAGCTTCGCTAAGGGAGCTGGGGGGGCTCTGGCCTCCCTCGACAGGGTGCCAACAATGCTGGGGAGGGGGGTGAGCTGCCTCTGTCCCACCGCACCGGAATTAGGTGCTGCAGCTGGGGGACACATCACGAGGAATCGGCACAAGCAAGTCAGTCTGGCAGCTCCGAGTCCCCAAGGAACTAAGACAGTATTTCAAGGCTGGCTGTTTTCCAAAGGAGAGCAATGCTGGGCTCGGCAGAGGGGTTCGCTGGAGGAAGAAGGGGGTTGGGATCTGCAAGTGCCCCCTCGCTCGTCGCTGGAAGGATCTGGAGCGCAGCCGCGTGCAGACAAGTGCATCGAATCGGATGTGATTTATGTTTGCGGGCATTACAAGGGAGAGGACGTGTGATGGTGAGGCAAGGAAGGCGCTGCGAGGCGGGAGGGAAGAGTAAAGAGAATTTTCTTTATGGATCCTTGGCTTCTGCAAAGCAGGAAAGATGCCTTTTCAGCGGAGTTTGGTCTTAGTCCTGCGGGCAATGAGTGCCGAAGAATTCCTTTCTCCAAAGACGAGGGTCAGAAAGCCCCGATTTCGATTTCAGTCGCCCAGGAGCGGCAGATCCTGGATGTCCCAACCCTGATCCCGGGTCCCTGCGCAGCAGCACCCAAGGTGGGAGGCGCCGCGTAAGCCGGTGGAATGGGGATGCTGGCAGAGGCTGGTGAGAAGAGGAACGTGGCGATTTGGCTGCTCTTGGACGAGCCCTCTCTCAACAC